TTTACAATTCGCCGCACCCCCTAAGTAAAATGACTTATGACTTTAACTAAAGTAAAAGATCTGAGTACTTCTTCCACCTCTGGTAAATAGCAAGTACGATATTTTTCTCTGAAATATAATGGAGAAAAGTTCAAGTAATGTTTAGGTCTGTCAAAATTGTACTATGCATTAAGCAACTTCCCTTAATAGCAGTTACATCAACTATACTGCCTTAATAATAGGCTACATTTAAAATTAAATACGTCAATAGTTCTTCGTTAATAAACTGCACATATTTCCATACTGGGAATTTACGTTTTTTATGAATACCAAAAAATGTGTGCCTTTTAGGACATTTGTAATGCCAATGTAAAAATAACTCTTCCGGCTATATTTTCGTCAAATAGCCTAACTCACTATTTGTCTTATACAAAGTTCCTTATTATACAACTGATTTGTTCGGTAAATCTTTTAAAACATTTTATGACCACATCATTTTAAAGCTAGGCCTATTCAGTTTTATTGTCAGTCATGTGAGCCATCTGCTTATCAACATATTTACCGACGCCCCCTGAACGCAGCATTTCTACAGGTTTATGACAAGTGAAAGAGAAAGCATTTAGAGGGGTGTATTCTACTTATCGTGTGAGTCGACATTAGGCAGAGAAGAGTTCGATGTCTGCGGAAAGGTCTTGAATGTGTTACAACTGAAGGTAGGATCATATTTGATAATAGTATTTGTTTTTAAAAAAAAAGTGCAATTCATTTATTACATTTGACTGTCAAACCATTTGCATCTCGCACAGTGTAATGATAACATGAATAGGAATAAATAAACATTCATTTAATTAGATATGGTCAACAAAAAGTCGATGATAAACGGAGAGATGAACATTTTGTCTTCGGGAATGTCTGAAGGTAGGCTCATTATTTTCTGCTTTGTGTTCCTCAAAGGTGTGTTTGATTCATCGCCAACAGTTAATTGTCAAATGCTGTGCAGCTGGCAGTGTATGACTGGACTGATCGTCAAAAAGGAATCAACATGTATTTATTTTATATACATCAGTTTTTCTCCAACATGTGCCCCCCTCCTGGTAAGATATAGGCTATGTGCCGTTTGTTTATAGACTTACAATTGACATTCATAGCGTCATTTACAATTTTCTCCAACAGCCATTAAGTTCAATGGCTTGGTAAACCAAGGGTCAACATGTTACCTGAACAGTGTGCTGCAGGTGCTTTTTATGACCAAAGACTTCAGAGAAGCTGTGGAAAGGTTTGTTACAAATTCCAACTTAATGCCATATAATGCTTTTAAACAGTATTAAGATTATACAGTACACTTGTGTATCTCTTCACCGCAGTTTTTTGACTTTGTGCAGGCACACCAGTGATAATCCTGACACTGAGAATATTGATCTTCAACTTGAATCCCTGTTTGGTGACTTAAAAAGTGAATCAGCAAACACCTTAAAGATCACAAAGAAGCTCTGCATCAAAAACGGTACAGTGTAGAGACACAGAGCCTTTGAAGCATTATTTGAAGATTACGATCAGTTTACGTTTACATTGTGTACTTTCCGTAATGAATATTTGTATTTGAGAAAATAGGTCAATAGATGATTTTACCTCTTATTTCGTAAATAAAATGCACATTGACTTCTGCTCTTTTCCCCCTCAGTTTATGAACAGCAGGATGCTGCTGAGTGCTTTGAGAAGATTTTAGCTAAGACCAGTGATGGTTCATCACAGGTGAAGAACACCCCATCAATATCAAATGGAATCTGTAAATTACATAAAAAATACTTGTTCACAGGTGTTTGTATTTTTAGATTTTCTGCGGACAGCTGACACATAAGACCAAATGTTCTACATGTAATAATGAGCAAGACACTGGTAGGGCATTTTGGCATCTTCCTCTTGCATTGGCCGATTCCGACAGTAGAAACTATGGGGTGGTAAGATTTTGACACATTTTTCTGTTGCCAGGAGATGAACCCATTATTACGGTGGCCCTGAAGTGCAAGACACCACAGCATTTCACAAAACACAACAGTATTTCTGAAAACGCCACAGCGCTTCAGAAAACGGACTGCTGCCAGTCAAGAAATGACGCTTCGTGATTGGCACATCAGCCGTTAGCACCTAGCACACACTCAGAGCTCACAGCTCCTCATATCTGTTCAGAAACTGGACAAAAGTTAAACATATACAAAACACACTGTTTATGTCATGGCGAATACAGTTGCTGCTTTATTTACGTCTGTATGACGTTGTTGTTAGTGTGGACCAGGGACGTGCACACAGACTCTAGGTAGTGCTTGAGCACCTGCCCGTTTTGCCCTCTGGACAGCAATGTGCCCTTTTGAAAGTTCGTTTTTTACAGTTTTTTAAATTATTTTTTTACAGTGTACTGTATGTGGCTCATGGTAACATCGATCAATTCTGGATTAAAAGCTTCTAATATATACAACAATGCCCCAAATGCGCGTTGTAATTTTGTCAGACATCCCCACACGAGCCCGACCCCCCTAAGTCATTTAGAATAATAAAAATACATGTTAAAATAATTAATTTTTTGATAAATCAGTAAAATCAGGCAAAAATAAGAATTAAATAACATAACCCTAGCTTAACCCTAAAACCAAAATAAAGTAACCAAAAACCGAAAAGAAACTAACAAAATCCGCCATTATCCGGCAAATTTTCGCGCACAATTTCGGAGCGCACAATTTCGGCCACCGCGACGACTCAGAAGGTGCCCTTTTTTTTTCTCTTGAGCACCTGCCCCTATAGATGTCTGTGCACGCCGCTGGTGTGGACGGAGCAGCTACAGGTTAGTTTAGCCTGATCGATCGCCCCGCCCCCTCTCCAGCTTCTTGCTTGAATGACAGCAGTAAACACAGAATTAATGCTTTATTAATTCATGGTTTTTAAGGGGCTTATCTCCATGTAAATACTATGGTAGACTACCCAATATTCGCATCGCTCTAATCGCTCGAGTTTCACCGCATCTGTCAGCTGTGTTTGCTCCTGTCATTCAAACAAGACGCGCTGGAGAGGGGGCGGGGCGTATCTCCATGTAAATCCTATGGGAGATACCAACTACAACAAAATGAACATATTTGACCGTGATTTAATTGTAATATACGTTTCAAAGTGATGCCGAAGTAACTACATACTGATAACGGTTAGTAAAAACCATGAATTAACGCTTTGACAAGTCTGCAGACAAGACGGCAGGCGAAAAGTTTTTAAAATGCGTGTTTTCTGAATGGAATCGGATCCATCAGGCTAAACTAACCTGTAGCTGCTCCGTCCACACTCAACGTCATACAAACATAAATAAAGCAGCGACTGTTTTCGCCATGACATAGACAGTCTGTGGTTTGTACATGTTTAACTTTTGTCCAGCTTCTGAACAGATATGAGGAGCTGTGAGCTCTGAGTGTGTGCTAACGGCTGATGTGTTGGGTTGGGACCATAGACTGTATAGAGTGGCGAAGTCCCTCCCCTTCCGGTGGACCTCCATGGGACCTTATATCGGAAAAATAATGTATTGAAGTCAATGGGGAGAGAAAGATTATCTTTTGATCCCGTTTGAATTGTGCCACGAACTACACATATGATGTTTCTCAATTTAAAATATAATTTTGCAAGTCAAAAAAAAAGTAAATGTGTCGTAAAACTGTGAAGTTACACATTTCTTTGTGTGAAGCGCTCAATGAACTACAACTCTGGTCTTGCACACGTCACCAACNTTTAGGCACCACTGCAAAAACAAAGATGTACTTTATGTAATAGCATTTCATTTCCTTGTTCCAGACACCGGTCGTATTTATTGAATAGAAGGGGTCACTGACCTTTAGCCCACATGAACTCAGTGACCCCTTCTATTCAATAAATACGACCGGTGTCTGGAACAAGGAAATGAAATGCTATTACATAAAGTACATCTTTGTTTTTGCAGTGGTGCCTAAATGTCACCTGACACCATACTTTTGGTATGGTTACCTCTCACTCAGTGATTGAGGTTTATCTTCTGATTAATACATCAGATCTGTGGGTTTTATTTAAAAATAATGCAGTCCACACTTTGATCAAGAAACCATGTTTTTCTCTAAGATGGTAAAGATATCTTAACTGGAACTTAACTGTGAGGATCAATCTAATGTTTATCCAATATCCCCAACAAATAATTTTGGGGATGATTGTCTGGCAACAAGCGACTGTCAAGCAAGCTGTGCACAGTGAGAAACTATTGGGCAGATTTTTCATAATTAACAATGTGAAATTCCAAAATCCGATCCTCATTGACTACAAAATAACAAACACTGCACACCTAACATTTTGTTATCAAGTGTGATACAAAACAAACAGGGCAAACCCCTTGTGGATGATTATCTCATTTTAAAGTGTATATATAAAATTCAATACAGTTGAGTAAATGCATGGCAGAATTCTTAAACCACCTAAGTGGAGTAATAACAGTATAATCATGTTTTAACTATTCTCAGGCTGTAGTTTTAATTTGTTTTAATTGATGTATTGAGTTAAAAGCCCAAAGAGCATACAATAGTTGCACCATGTCTTCTGTCACTGAGTTTTATAAGATAAAAGGAAGATATATAATATCAAAAGTGTGTACACACATGATTGTTTGTAAACTTGGAAAATTTGACATAATTTGACATAAATATGTCCACAAATACCAAACACTGCATTAGTTATATCCGTAAAATTAATTAATGTAGTACTTGTTACGCTGTGCAAGCACTTCTCCAAAGGATTGTTTATTTTAGTTTGATCCCCTGACAGTTTGATGAATGCTACCCGACATTTTCTTCTTGCATCTGGATATTAAAATAAGTCAAAACAAGACATGTAGCTGCTGATGCTCCATGATGTTAGGTAGCATTTGATCAAGCATACAAGTTATGTTGCTGTGTGACAAAGATCCTATCCGCATAACTCTGTTGGCACCAAATTGTCTGCATATTCAGACAAAATATTTTTTCTGCGACAATAGTAAGCATTCCATCAGAGGAAACATTTCTCATACTTGTGATAGTTCCTGGCAAATGACAGCTTAAAAATGGCTCAGCATGATATGATTAATCATGCTTATTCACTGGCGGGGCTTCATGTTGAGTCTGTTTTTTCTATTTAAAGAATAAATTATGTGCATTCTGTAAGATAAACTTTATTTGGGTTCATTTAATGTTAATTGACATGAATATGTGCACGTGTATGTCTAATTTCACAATGTTAAATCCTACATACACAATTTTATGTATTCTGATTTAATAAGATGGGCATTACTGTGAAGCAGTAGTTATACTAATTATGTTGTAGGGAAAGCACTTGAAAATCTATTATTGAAACTAGTAATATTGAGTGCACAAGGGTCAGGCCAAAATGATAATTGGATAATCAAATTGATTCCCTCTTCTGTTTTATTTGCTTCAGGCCTAGCTTGTCCTATTTCTATTTCTTTTTCTATCCATTCAATTTCCCTCCATCTGTAGTAGAAGCTGGCCACCATCAGAGTGTGGAAGAGGTTATTCAGCAACGGTGCTCCCACCCAGACGTGAGGGAATTAGCAGGGCGGAACACAGAGCTATTTTGGTTGAGCTCCTCAGTATCTAGGTCTAAGTGATTAAAATGGTTTCTTGTGCCCATATTCTTCTCAATGAAGGTGAATGTGTTTGTATTGTTGTTTGATTTTTTCTCACAGTTTTCTATTAAATTGTGAAATTTCACTTATAACGATTTTTTTTTCTCTGTTCTGATTAAGTCTACTTTATTACACAATTTAGCATTTATAAGCGGTTTATAAACAACTTATAAATGGCTTTTCATAACACATTTAATGTAGCTTTACATAATTCCTTGTTTTCCTTTTTTTCCCGCATGCTCCCAATGCATTGTGCAAATGCCACATTGACTCTCATGGGCTTCCACAACTAACCCAAATCCTTCTTTTAACTTGAAAAATGGCTTGCTGTGTTAACCACAAGGGACTGAGAAGAGGAATGCCTGGTCTGCCCACCACTGCTGTATTAGGTTACTTATTGACTGTAACGTCTTTCTTCATTCTTTCTTACTCCATTGTCCTTGTTTCACTCCCGTAGCACTTCCTTCTCCATCCCATTCATTTCATCCACCTTAGAGCCCTCGAGGCCAGACCACCAGACATGCTGGCCAGTTTCAGTTCCATGCTTTTTTTTTTTGCTTGCCACAGTCAACACTACAGAGAGGTTTGTTATGGAGACCCAGTTAAGGCAGCGAGCACTGGGGCAAAGCCTAGTGGGGCCATGCTGAATGGATGAGCTGTCAGGAAGCCAGTTTGGTGATGAGAGACCCAGACTTCATCCAGGCTTAGATGGGGGAGATATTGGTTCCTGTCAAACCCCACAGCAAAATAAGCTCCAATGTCAGAACTATCCCGAGGATGGGTGTGAAAGTAGGAGGGGCGAGAGCCTGCGGGAAGCTGAGGAGTTGTTTGGGGAATATGGACTTCATCTTACCATATCAAGTCCATGTGTGAAACCCACATTTTAAATTCACAGTGACACACACATTCCATATTGGCACTTGCAAGTATTAATTAAGAGAGTATTGGAGACACATCCTGATACTGATGAATTTGATTGTCAATGCAATTTTCTAGATCCTCTAGTATCTATGTTAATTGTAACTCTGTCCATATCACATTGCTGCTGTCTCTGGGTTGTTTGTTCCAAGATTTACCTCTGGGAGCACAGGAGGTGACAGGAGACTCTTGGGGAGGTAAAATAAAGTAAGAGGGGAGGAGAGGAGAGGAGGATGTACAGGGAATAGGCAGACAAACAGGGTTCCCAAGAGAGTATATGAACAGATGAGAAAAGGATGGTGTCTGATAGCAGAATGTGGAATGACAACAGAGAGAAGCATTAGCAGAAAAAGAAGAAAAGGAAAGAGGACAGATAGTGAAAAAAGAGGAGAAACTGACAGTAAGGACCAGCAATTCTGCAATTTCTCTCCTTTACTCTGATGGAGGTAAAATCTCATGGCATGAAATGGTCTTTTCATTTCAGATGTAATGAAGATAATGTATGGATTCATTACGTTCTGCCGCTTTTATTTTCATGATGACTGTAAAGTCTACTT